ATCACTATCACTGTCATCATTATCATCAACATCATTGTCACCGTGTCATCATCATGACTCATCATCGCTATCATCATCATTATCATCAATTATCATCATATGACTATGACTATCATCACTATCTCTGCCTCATCATCAATATCATTATCATTATGATAGCAGCAGCAGTAGTAGCACCATCTCAATTTTAGTAAAATTTAGGATAGACTTAATGAATTAATTACAGCTTTATCAGTGAGTTCGCTTACGACAAAACAAGCTATCAAGGAATTTTAAAATTGCTGTCCGCCTTTTATTAAAAAAAGTAATGCACCTTGAATGGCATTCATTTTTTTCGCTTTGGTCAAAAAGATCAGATATAAATAACATTTGAAGCCTTGCCGCTCAAGAACTGCTGACATACAAAAGTAAGATGCGATGCTTCGGTAATGAACAGTTTTGGCTTTCTGCCCTAGAAATAATTAGAAGACCTTGACTTTTATTCGAAAAGGACTTGTTGACAACCCAGGAACTATTTTAAAGCAAATCTAAAAACTCTAACAACACTGGAAATTAGTTAAAGTCGGATAGAGTTATCTAGATGCCTAACCTGTGAGATCTCGGCTGTAATTCTATTCCGGATTACCTAGGATTCCCGCTCTTTTTTGGCGGGAAAATATTGTTGTTCGTAAGAGGATTATGAGTATGCTAGAACAGGGGGAGCATTTGATTATTTTAATTGGCTGTCGCATTCGAAGAATCTGATTGGCTGTAGCATTTGAGGCATCTAATTGGTCGTAAGATTTAAGACACGTATTTAGCTGTAACAGTTGATGCATTTGATTGGTTGTAACATTTAAGACATATGATTGGGTTGGCACCTAACATTCGACACGTGATTGGATATAGCCTTATTACTGATAAATCGAGTGAGCATCACTTCAGATATAATTACTGACTTCTGCCTTCTCATAGCTGACTTGCTCTTCTTAACATTGTTATCTATTATTATCTGTGAGATTGAGATTCGTATATCTCGGGAAGTATCAATTATTCGAGGGTGTGCCTATGCCTTAGATAGCGATGAGTACGCCCTAGAGGAAGAGTTGCTCTTCTTAACTTAAGTATGCTATTATCTGTAAAACTTAAAAATAAATAAAGATTAATTACATAAAGATACATAAATATGACAATCATAATAAGCGTTAGCGTTAGGAGACCTGAAGGAGCTAAAAAAAAAAATTAATCAAAGTCAGGTATCCTACTCCTTTTATATTACATAAAGAATCAATAATTTTCTGCAAATTATTAATTATTCGTAGGTGGGCCTGGTCCTACGATAACAATTGACCACGCTCTAGTGCAAGGGTACTATTATCTGTAAAACATTGCGGCAAATTATTAATTATTAGAAGGCGTACCTGGTCCTACGATAACAATTGACTACACCCTAGTGCAAGGGTACTATTATCTGTAAAACATTGCTGCAAATTATTAATTATTAGAAGGCGTGTGTCCTAAGATCATGATTGACCCCGTCCTAGTGCACAGGCTGGTTCTGTACATCGTGTAATATTTCGGCTATTCTAAGTAACTGAATGTTTCCCAAAAGATACGGTATCTATTTAAGAACACAGGAGTGCTGAGATTCAAATAGTTGAACAGTAGGAGCTGATGACATACTAAAGATTCTTGGCGGTTTAAAGGGTACCCCTTAAATCAATATGTACATTCATGCTGTGATGCAACATCCTTTTGCTGGGTAGAAATGCTTGGTTTTATGTGTCGATATATGAACTCGAATGTTCCTTTCGTGTTATCTGATAGCAACTGTAATGGAATAATGCATTCAAACCACTACAAAGGGAAGATGATTTTCTCGTTATCAGTATATGAATATGTTTTGTTTTCTCTCAGAATTAATTTTGTCTTGAGTCGGAGATTCCAGATAGCTCAAGGGTGCTCTCCTATATTGGCGGTCAACCCCTGTTGTATCGTGTCAAGGATTTGTTCAAGCCTTCACCGTACAAATGAAGTAATGTTTATTTTTTCTGTACTAATGAATGTTTTAAATATATATTTCTTAACCTGCACCTTATAATTAACGTATCATCGTTATCAGGCCTCGAGTACATAAGTCTTAATTGGTTCCGTTACCCTCGAAGTGCGGAGCTGTACAAAGCATTTTCGACTACATGTCAAATACCTCGTTCCTCGACTATCTGTTCTCTTCCGCTAAGGCGGTAGGTTAGAGTAAAAAACATGCCAAGCCGTCCTCTCTTCTTATGTCTTTCTCTCTCTCCGATTCCTACACTCGCTATCACATGTGAGTAGAGTTTGTAGGGTCTCTCCCTTAATCCGAGGGTGTTTCTCCGGGTTCCCTGTTTTCCTTAAACGCCAAAGTCTGGTTGTATGTGCGAGTTAGCATTACCCTGACTTCAATCATCCCAGAGTGTTATTACGAGGTGTTGACAAAATGTGAATTAACTCTGTGATATTTACTGGAAAATCGCGCTAATATTTGGCCACATTCCTTGTCGCACGTCGTCTTCTCACCCGTTTTTATCAAGAGGTCAGGCTAGACATAATCGTCGTCTGCATTCTTAACTTTTCGCTGTAATTGGTACCTATGCGGGCTGCTGGGAGGGCACTGAGGCCCGCCAGTCGTCCGTCTGCCTGACAAACAATTCCTTGTTTCAATTTACTTGATAATCGCTATTTGATAGAAACCTGAATATGTACCCTTTTGTTCCGTAATAGAGTATGCATGCAATCTCTTGCAGTATCAACTTTGGTGGATGCATTGATTAAATGCAGTGATTCTTCATAGGAATAGGATATGTAAAGCCCCGTTTACACTAGCAATTTTTTTGCGATTTTTTTGCGATTTTGTCCATAATAAATAATGGTAAAGAATTTACTTGTAAAGTTTTTTTCAGGATACCAAGATTTTCCTAGACGAATGTCTCTTTTGAAGGATGAGACAAAAGATTTCATATTTCCGAAAATTGCCACAAAAGTCGCAGCAAAATTTGCCGCAAAAATCGCCAGTGTAAACGGGGCTTAATAGTATATCTTATTTAACGGGGAACTATCTTATATGTGACTTTGTAATTATTAGCTATTCAGTTGATCATTCACGGCACAAAGTCTATCTATCCTACACGAGGGTTCCCAGCTCTAGGATAATCTTACTGATGATATCAGAGCTGCAGTGATTTTGTAATAGTATATCTAATTTAACGGGTAACTATGTTATATGTCCATCCGACAAGAGGGTTTCCAGCTCTGGAACAATCTTACTGATGATATCAGAGCTACCACCAGTGAATCTGCATGTGTATTCCTCGTATCATGATATTACACAGAACCTTAACTGTTACTAGAACTAAATTTTCCACAATTTTTCTCAAGTTGTGATAAGTTACCACGACAAGGGAGATCGGTATCGGTGCAGTATTGCGTGCGGAATGTTCATCAGCTGAATCGCAAGTTTTCCATAGCATTCTTTCTGGTTCACAGCACATGGTCAGTATTTGACCACCATTTGAAGCAGATAATGAGACTCAGAGATTTTTATCAGCTAATTAAAGCTCAGCAATTTAAGAAAGGCATCCCAGTACTGCAGTRCAACCCTTTTCTTGACTTGTTGTGTATTTTTGTGTGGATATTTCTATTTATCTCTTTAGTATCACCATTATTTGAGGGTTAAAGGGTAGATATGATAGCTGATTTGCTACTGAGCCCTCTTGGTTTGGCTTGAGGTCTCTGTCTCCTTTGATTCAAACCAGGGGTTTTTTTCCTGGTCTCCGGTTCACCACTCTCCACAAAATCTAACACGTTAAATCCCGTGAGTTAGCCATGCCCTAACACCCTCTGCAAAATCTAACACGTTAAATCCCGTGAGTTAGTCATGACCTAACACCCTCTGCAAAATCTAACACGTTAAATCCCGTGAGTTAGNAACACCCTCTGCAAAATCTAACACGTTAAATCCCGTGAGTTAGTCATGACCTAACACCCTCTGCAAAATCTAACACGTTAAATCCCGTGAGTTAGCCATGCCCTAACACCCTCAGCAAAATGTAAAACGTTAAATCCCGTGAGTTAGCCATGCCCTAACACCCCCCGCAAAATCCAACACTTTAAATCCCGTGAGCTAGCCATGCCCTAACACACTCGACTCTGCAAAATCTAACACTTTAAATCCCGTGAGCTAGCCATGCCCTAACACACTCGACTCTGCAAAATCTAACACTTTAAATCCCGTGAGTTGGCCATGCCCTAACACCCTCCGCAAAATCCAACACGTTAAATCCCGTGAGCTAGCCATGCCCTAACACACTCGACTCTGCAAAATCTAACACGTTAAATCCCGTGAGCTAGACATACAAGAACCATCCTCAAAATCTAACACGTTAAATCCCGTGAGCTAGCTATGCCCTAACAAAAATCAACTCTTAAATTCCAATTCGATGACGGAACGAGGGCCACAGGTTTGTTAGCCACTGGCTATTATTAGTGCTACCCTCGTGAAAACATACAAGGACGGTTTTATTTTATGCACATCCTTCAGTGTTCGATAATGTTTTTTAAATATTCAATTATTCGATCTTCTTCATTTACAAAATAATAGAATAGAATGTAAAAATATAATAATATGAAAAGTAAACTCGATCTTAACTGAAAGAGATTTGATTCTGTTTATGATGTACGCTTTAACCCCTTGAGTATCTTGGCAAAATGTTTAACCTTCACATATTGACTTTTCAATTCGATTGGATTTCCAATCAATGGATTCTTAATCTACCAAAACAAATTTCAGTGAAATTAATAGAAGAGCTAATTTCTTTTGTGGAGGAAGTAAAACCGGAGAAACTAAAGCAAAACTCTCAAAACGTAGAATAGAACCAAGAATTAGTTTTTCTCTTGGTTAAACGGGCGAGCAGCTTGATAGTTTTCTATTTTAGTACTTACAGCGCTCCAAGATGYGCCATATATTTTTAGCAAAATACCTGAGATTCCTACCAGAAACCTACTGATTTGAAGTAGCTAGTGTTGTAAACAGTTAAGCATATGAGAAAACCATTATCCCCTGTTTAGAGTACTAATGAACTGCACAAGAAGTTTGGATTTTTTTGATTTTTTAATTTTTTGCTAAGATCAATCAGGACTTTAAGACTTATTTAAATAACTAGCTCTATTAGTGTCAAATTGTTTATTTCATGCAAGTTTGTGCACTCTAATGTCTTTTATATGCCCTTAGGGTTTCATTGTTTCATTGTTTTTTTACACTTTATATACGATTGCTAGTCTCCTTATGATTCACTTGATGATAACGCGTTGTAGCTTCGAAACCTCGTCTTTTTCTTGCGTTATTTAGCTTTAACTTAATGAATTTTAGGAACATTTTAGCGTTTAATTTTGGTTCAAATTACAAAACCATTATCGCTCCTTTAAATCCGTTAAATAAATAAAAATAATTTATCGAAAATATGAGCCAGCCAAAACGGATACTGTCAGCACTTAAAAACATGGTAATTAATGAAATTAGCTAGGTTATTTTTCCGTAAAAAGACACGCAGAGTTTTCCGTAAATAGACATGTATTGCTTCTGAAATACGGCGAAAAGACTGCTGCAAAACGGCTTCGTTTTTTATCGAACTGCCAGCAAATTGGCAGCGAGTTTAAGGTAACGTTTGAAAAACAGAGTTTACTTTCTGTTTATACCATTTATCAAGTGTTTTTGAGGTCTACCTTAATCTTGTTAGCTCTTCTATACATGTCACATCTTTAAACCCAACATTTTTCTGCGCATTTCTTCATTTTCCAATTCCTTTAAACCTAGCTTCTCAGTTACCTATCGATTCACCCTCTAGTCAAAACATCAAAATAGATGAACCTAGTCTTACATGGGCATATGAAAGGTTATTACATGTATATGCCTTGTTGACAGGGTTTATTGTTACTATTAGAGACAACCTTTCTTGGTGAGACCTTCTAATTACATTACAATTCAATTCAATTCAATTCAAAAAGTTAAAAAAAAAAAAAGGACAAAACTTACGGAAGATAGATCAGTTTATTTTAAGTATTTCTAGTGTATCGCTGTTGTTACAGCTTTGTCATGTCAATTGAGAGTCGTATACATAGGATATTTAGTGTAGTGGGTGTGCGTGACAGTGGGCAAAATCGGAAACCAGTATACATACACTGAATTTGTATCCTTCTATAAAAAATGTGATTTATTTATTTATTTATTTGTCATTGCTCATACTATGTAAGGCTCTTTTAAGCAAACTTATATTTGATGTAAAATGATATTGATGTGGTATTTAAAATATACTAAAAACATGTCGAGACTTGTGCCTTTGTAGGAATGGTGGAGTAAAAATAGTAGTATATCTAGTACAGACCACCCCTTGTAGGCTTCGCATCAAGTGTAAGCTGTATTTTCTGAAGTGTTATCCATACTTACTGACAACAAAAGAACGTACAATTTTCAGTTGTGGTATAGTCCTTTTTGTACGAATATAGTACAACTAACTATAGTTTTGCTTTTAAACACATCGAGTATTTTTGCATAACTTCGGGACTAAGTTTTCGATATTAGTTAACATTGACTTAATAGTTGAAGAGTGAGACTGTAAGCCTCGAGAATGCAGGTCAAAAGGGTAAGAAAACGAGTGGAATTCAATGCTAAAAAAAGCTTGCCTTTTAAAGGAAAAAGCAGAAGTAATCGAAAGCAATGATGCGTCTATGGAATACCTCGAGTTAATTAAAAGTCTAGGCATTTTTTACTTCAATTTTCGCTTATTAATCTGTATCTAAGCTTTGGACATAACTCGGCATGTCATCACGCATCGACAAGTTTTTCCCCCAGACTTGTTCCATATTACAGCTGTGTTCAATGAAGTTCATCAATGGGTTTTAAATCGACTGTACGCCAAAATGACGCAGAGTTTCTCATCATGACAATCATACTTACGATCCAAGTAGTTCCTTCCGTAGTTTTGCCATGGTTTTCTCTCCCAGATACCAGACCAACAAAATGGCAGCACTAGTGCCATTAATACAAAGATTATAGCAGCTTTAGCCATTGTCTGATGCGAGATTATAGCGCTGTAAGCTCGTCTAGTGTCCGCCCTCTGTTCTTTTCTACTCTGGCCCACGACGGTCTCTATTTATATACTCGCTTTCCTATTGACTTCACACGCAGAGTGGTAAGCGATTGGATGGCTCAGAATCGGGTTTCAATAAAAGTTCACCGTAAAATGATCTTGTGCGTGAGTTGGACTTCGCTGAAAGAGAAATAACACGAATGTTCTAGTCGAACGCCCGTCGGAACTACTCAATTTGTCAACCAGACTATTTAGTCATGAATTGACTTCAACATCTTGAATTACGCTATAAACTGAGTCGACATTTAAACATTATTGCTTGGTGCTTTTTAGTCTTACTGATGCTGAAAAAGTAACTTCATTTTTGATTCAAGAGAAAATTAAGGTGATTGTGTTAAAACATCTGGTCTAAGAAACAAGGATAAGAACGCCGTCCGCCATAGAGAGACTGCAGTTTTTAGTTTATGTAGAAATAAGTTGTAATTGCCTTATATTAAATACTGTAAAAAGTAAATTTAGTCTGCGTAAACTTTGTCTGAAATGGCAAACGTAGTCTGATATGACACAGAAAAGGGCATGTCCTTGGCATACTGTTTTTCCATTTCAGACCACGTGTCATTGAGGATAATATTTTTTGTTTGAGTCGTACCCATTTCATGTGTCTTCTCATGCGCTACCATTAAACAAAGAAATGATACTCTAGGGAATGACACGTGGTATGGAATGGGAAAACAGTACGCCCAAGCCACAGCAGTCTGTTGATTTACGACTATGAATTTACTTGCACTTTTTTCATGAATTTGGAAGAAAAAACATAATTTTCTGCATAGTGAATAAAAAAGGAGTGTGTTTTCACGATAACAGACGAATTTTTAAACCGTTCAAAAAGTTGTACGTTTAGACCTTCCGTTCATACGAAACTATGAACGAACAAAAATTCACACGCCGAGCCGTATGGAAAATTGGTTTGACTATCACTGATAAGTACCGTATCAAACCCTTTTCCGGCTAACTTCTCGTACTGCAAGCCGAATAGAAAATTTCCAGTACCGTCAGAAGACCTTTCTGGCAAGCCAGTATGCTTTGCGCATGATCAGATAGAAAACCACTAACATGATAATTGATCCGGTTCCGTATAGGGAGAACGTACTTTTTATACAATTAAAGAGACGGTTCCGTGCTATTGGTATGTACTGGTCAAATTTTTGAGCGGTTAAAAACTCGTTCGGTACCGAGTAAACGCATGCAGTCCGTACAGTAATTTCAGCAATGTACGCCAGCGTTCATATCATATTCATTTGATTAGCGTTTAGCATGGTGAACAATTATTTTCACGCAGTTATATGCGACGCCCAGTGTTTGACACCATATATCTCCTATTAACTTCATAGTAGTGTTCGCCATCCAGGTGCCTCTGCTATGCTAGCGCTTTCTAAACGACGACTCGCTCTTGCTAAAGATGATTGATTAGAGTGTGTTGTCGATTGACATCAATTTAAATCCTGGACGAATCATTCCAAATTTGCTAATAATACAGTCTTACCTCTATTAGCTCAGATCTCACATTTTTCACGCCTTCCTATATTCACAGTAAAAGGAACCATTTAGCGGACATTTCTATTAACGAGCGGACGCGAACACTAAAATACGAGCATTTTGATGAAAAAAAGATATCGACTTTACTATGGTGACGGCTTACTTCAACAGTTTTTTAAACCAATTATTGGAAGGTATACTTTTAACCAATATATATTGTGTGAATTAAGCAAACCTCTGTTCGGCGGACACTCTCCTATTACCGGACACCAGACAAGGTCCTATAAGGGAAACGAATAGATATGGCACGTGTGAAAGACTAATATCCAAGCCCTCTGATTAGTTTATGTGAATGTTTTTAACTGCGCTTTGATTGGCTTAAAACTAAATCCATTTTAGAGGCATTTCCCTGGTGTTTTTATTTTTAATTAATTTTATCAAAGTTCTGGAATTATTTTGTCCTAGTGTGTATCGGCACCTTTCAAATAAAACTTGCGATCCTACTTCTGTTTCTGTTTTTATAATACACTCAACAAAATTACTCGATTCTGATTGGACAAGAGGAGTACAATTAAATTTAATAAAGTTGTACTCTGTAGAGTCCCAATTAAGTTGCTCAATGTTGAGTGTATTATAAACAAAAAATCCCACAATCTTCTTGTACAATTCGAAATTTATAGATACTTGTGACGTTTTGAAAGTTCTCAAATGCAACTCGTCTAAAGGCTCGTCCAAGTTTGAAAACTTTCAAAACATCACTCGTACCTATAAATTCCGAATTGTACTCGAGTTTGTGCGATTTCCTATACGAATTCGACGACAGTTTTTATGAATTTGTTTAACAATAAATACACAACTCACGCTCTCATCTGCACCTTAGAACTACTGCTGTATAGTTATTCCTTCGTTCTGGAGCGTTCTCGTTTTTAAAGGTTAAAACATTTGTATTATCAAACAAGTTTAACTGTGTTGTACCTTATTCTAGAAGATTCCATGGCCATCATGCCATTCAGTGGTTCATTGAAGCTATGGTTAAATGTAGAAGGCAATTCGGTGCTTGTAGTTGGGATGAAATGCCAGCAGATGCTGCTTGTTTTATCCGATATCTAAYGAACTGAAGATCGTAGATTAGAAAGCTGTTTTAGTTAGAAGTGCCTGGGTTAATGAATCTGTTTTTTTTCCTCTTATGAACCTGTCGTTTGATAACACTAGAGGGCAAGAAGGGTTCAACAGTTACGCTCAACTACATTAATGAATGGTTGCAACTGTTTTTTTCCTCTTATGAATCTGTCGTTTGATAACACTAGAGGGCAAGAGGGGTTCAACAGTTACGTTCTATCAGATTAGTGAATGATTGCAACTGTTTGTTTTTTTCACTTAAGAACCTGTCATTTGATAACACTAGAGGGCAAGAAGGGTTCAACAGTTACGTTCTATCACATTAATGAACGGAATGATTGCAACTGTTTTTTTTTTCCTCTTATGAACCTGTCATTTGATAACACTAGAGTGCAAGAAGGGTTCAACAGTTACGCTCTACTACATTAATGAATGGTTGCAACTGTTTTTTTTCCTCTTATGAATCTGTTGTTTGATAACACTAGAGGGCAAGTGGGGTTCAACAGTTACGCACTAGGTGGGAATGGCAACTGTTTTTTTCTTCCTTTTATGAACCTGTTGGAACCACCCCATGGCCCCCATGGCTTAGCGGCGAACGCGTTTACCTCTCACCAATGCGACCTGGGTTCGAGTCCCGGCGGGCTCGGTGTCATATGTGAGTAAAGCAAGACAGCACAGATACATTGCTTGGGCTGCCTGTGAGTAGAGTTGTATAATTTGTTGGTTCTCTCCTGTGCTTTGATGGGTTTTCTCCGGGTTCTCAGGTTTTCCTCCCTCCGCAAAAATCAGCTTATAAAATTCTGATTGGATTTTTTTTTTTTTTTTTTTTTTATTTTTTTTTTTTTTTTTTTTTTTTTTTGCCATTTGTGCGGAGAATCCCTTGTGGTTGTAACACGGATCTTTATCACCTTCGTAGATGGCTTACGTAGTTAATTAATCTTAGTATCCTTAAATGACCTTTAAATTTTTACAAACGTTTAAGATAACATCCAGTTATTTGAACAAAATGAAAGAACCAATTTCAACGAAACGTCGATGTTATTGCTGTTTAATGATCCCTCGGCGATAAAAATGATTGGTATGGCGCGTGCGTGGAGAGTAGCATGGATTTTCGAACGAGAAAACGTTGTATCACTCATTTACACCATTTAAAACTCCATTCAAACGTTAAGAGACGAGGACTCACATTTCATTTTTTCGCTTCGACATGCACGACATCTCGTATATATTCGTATCATTTTTCTAATAATGTTCATACTGTTCGCGTTTACATTTATGGTGATTATAGAACTTCTATTAGCACCATCAAATCCTACTAATAAGGATGTGCAAATCTTGGCAAGTAATTAGTAGCTTGAGGGAAAGAGTATTGAATTGATAGCCGTCTGACGGATTATTTTTGACTCTTTTCTCACACAGAAGCAGTGTCTGACCTTGTATCACATATATACTTTTCAATGGAATGATTCCACTTCAGGTTCCAAGTACGTCTACTTCGCCGTGTCATACATTTAGATACCTAGACGATATTCCAACCATAGTTAAAATATCGGTGTTTTGCACGCGGTAGATTCCAATTGTTAATTACATAGATAAACAACGTTATTAAAATTTAATTGTCCAAAAAGTTGCCAATTCTTCCTTCTAACGGTTCTTAACACTTCTAGAACATTGCTAACGTAGTCTTGGAATGGAATTTGCCCCGATATTTACCCCGGCATGGCCGTTCAGTATAAGATTAGCCGGCTTTATTAGTGTTGTTATTTTCCAGTCCATTGCCGTCACAAACTATGAATGTGTTGACAATATTCTGTGCCTTTTTATTTAGTTATTTTGCTCAAATCCGCACGTAGTGCTTGGCGTACCGAGATCATCTTTCCCGTGTCATCTTTCCATGGTCAGATCGATTGCAACATACTCCGATGAAAAGGCCGGATATAAGGGCATGAACATCGATAAACTTGTCGCAATGGACAGGGTGCTTGTAATACCGTTTCTACTTTGCCTAATAAAGAAATTTCGACCATAGCTATACATTTGGGGTAGGGGGGA